CACTGAATTCGGGATAAACAGTGCCACACCAGCTATCCAGTGAGGAAGGAGGAGGATGGAGGGAAGGCATGGGGACAGGCGCCATAAAGGTGAAGTAACAGCATCTGAACACTGGGTGGCAGCAGCAGCCCTACACAAATTACATGCCTGCGTCCTGCCTGAGTCCTGGTTGTGGAGAAATTCAATTAAGGATCGTGCCTCCTTGGGAGTCTTTATTTTATACCTTTCTTTTCTCCCGTGGTGGCTGCAGATATGTGGCTTCCAGATGCATGATTAACAGGGCACAAGAAAGAGGTCGTACAAGAGTTAGTTGGTGTCAGAGCATTTGCTGATGAATCTGCAGTAAAATTACGGTTTTCCACTGAATTAGAGGCCTGCATACTTTGGTCTGCAAAGGGCCAGATGAGTATAGACGCTGAGCTTTCGGCCTTGAGGTTCTGCGGCAACTGCCCGCCTCCATTATTACAAGGAGTTACGGACAATATGTCAACGAATGAGTGTCGGCTGTGTTCGAAGCAAACTCCGTTTCCAGAACCGGGTGTTGGGCTGGACCTGGCCCGGGGGCTACAGTTTGCTGACACCCCTAGGCTAAATGAAGAGCAGCTAGCTTGGTCCACGTGGGCCCCAGGCACATGCCAGGTAACTCTTGTTGCCAAGTACCTGCAAATGCATCCTCTCGCCCTCCGGGCCCTTCCGGAGCCCTACGTGATTATCTAGGTCTCTCTACTCTCAAACCTGAATTCCCCCTTCTCCCTTCCGCAGGACAACAAAATCCGCCGACAGATGCCGTCTGGTGGGTCTGCATTCAAAGCTCTTCCTCTCTCCCCTCCTTGTGGTCTCCCTTCAGTCCCACATCCCTCGTCCTGCTCTGAGGGCACACAGCTGTGGGTGGTCAACACGCGTCCATCTATGTCCTCGCCTCAAATTATTCCACGGGAGCCAGATCACGGTTCAAACCACCTCTTGGGTTTTATCATTTCCTTTCCCTGCATATCAGAACCCACCCTAGCTGCCAACCTCTCGGTGCATGATGTGCTTTCTTAGCCGTCAGGCTTACCTTCCAGAAAGCACCATGTGAGCTCCATCTCGGTGACTTCACCTCTCCGCCGGCCCTGAAAATGCCTTGGGACCTACCTGGGCCTTTCTTCACAATATTACCTGCCTCCATCGTGTCCACCAATTCAAGCTGACCATCCCCCCCGGTCCTGATGAAGTACCACCGTTCTATGAAGTGCCCCTGACACGAAGGAAGAGCCTGCCCTTCATCCACTGGTTTCTTAGTAACTCGGTTTGTATCCCTTCCTTGGAGCTTACGCTGTGTCCTTCTTACGGTGTTACTGGTTTCACTGCCCACTAACCAATTATTTAGGCCATCTTTTCTGGTATTGATTTTCAATTATGTCACACTGCGGTCACAGAATGTGGTCTGAGTGGTATTGATTTGGGGGACATTCCGACTTTTCTCTGCGGCACGGCGCTCATCAATTTTGGGAACCATGCGCACGCGGGCTTGACAAGAATGTCGGTTTTTTCATCGCCAGGCTGGGCTCTACGCACATCCATGATGTATGTCGTGTTAACTTTTTTTTTTTTTTTTTTTTTTTTTTTTTTTTTTAATTTATTTTTGGGACAGAGAGAGACAGAGCATGAACGGGGGAGGGGCAGAGAGAGAGGGAGACACAGAATCGGAAACACGCTCCAGGCTCCGAGCCATCAGCCCAGAGCCCGACGCGGGGCTCGAACTCACGGACCGCGAGATCGCGAGATCCCGCGAGATCGCAAGATCGTGACCTGGCTGAAGTCGGACGCTTAACCAACTGCGCCACCCAGGCGCCCCTGTCGTGTTAACTTTTTATCTGCCTTCTCAGTGCCCGGGTGGGGAATCCTAACCCTTCACCATGACGACGGTTTTGTCTGACTTCCCTTGAAATTCCGACCATTTTCCTTCCCCAGTGTGAGACTTAGGTTGCCAGGAGCATACAGGTGCCCATCGGCCCGGGGCACTGTTCCTCTTCCGGCAAAGTACTGACCTCCATTCTTCACGTGGCTTTCTGCCCGAAAGTCTGTTTTGCCTGATTCCAAGACTGTATTACCCGCTTTCTTTTTGGCCAGGGTGCACCTTCCACCTTTTTTCACTCCTTTGTTTTCAAGCTTTTCTGTGTCATGTCTTAGGCGTGCCCCTCGTTCGTCACCCGGAGCTGGGATTTCAAAAGGCAAAACCTGTCTCTTGTACAAGATGCGTTTAATCATCGGATGACTTTGCTTTTGCAGCCTGCCCTCCGGCATTAGCCTTGTTCTTTCTCCTTCTCCCTCGTGCCTTGCTTGGGGGCTCTTATGCATCACCATCCTCACCCCCTCCCCCCCGCCCCCGGGCATTTGGAAAGGAAGAACCCAAATCACGAACTGTAGGTGGATTTATGGGGGGGGGGGGTATGGCCTGATGGGGAGGGCCTGTTGGAGGGAGATCCTTCCCTCCCAAGATACTCTGGACACAGTGGTGACAACAGCAAAGGCCCACATGCTGTGGCTGAGAGTGGGTGGAGGGCAGGGGGTGGTGAGAACCCCCCAGTGGCTCCATTAGCAGGGGTTTTTTGAGGCTGGAAATACCAAGACTGCCGCCCCAGGTCAATCCCAACTGAAAGGTCCTGTTGAGGGTTTATGTAACTCAGAGAGCGTCTGTTCAAGGGAAGAGAGGGGCTGGGTCGGAAAGATTGTTGCTCTACTTTCTTCAGAAATATTTATAAGGATTAGCGGAAAGTGCAGGTAATAGAATAGAGGGCCGTCCGAGTGGCCATCCCGATGTCGCGGGAGATGTGGCTGGACTAAAGCCTGGCTGGGGGCAGGGCTGTCACTTGCCAGCCACCAACCCCCTGCAACGTGCACAGCGCCCGAGCTCCAGGAGGACCCGGCCTGTGGATGCTGACAGGCTCAGCTCCCGGGATCCTGCTGACTCAGAAGTTTCTCCTGGTCTAAGTAAGGCCAAGATCAAAACGGCAAAAAAGCCATACTCCCCGACCCTCTCCCCTCTCCCAGGGTGAGAAGAGCAGACTGCAGGGCATTAGGAATCACAATTAACCCTTGATTTTGGCGACATTTCTACATCATGAAGTCCCCTCTGCCCTCCCCCCACCCTCCATCAACCAGCTCATTTGGTTTTCACAATAGGTATCACATGAATGGATGATGCTGGAGGAACCCACCAGTTTGACAGATGGGAAAAAGAAGTTGAGAACAGGGGAAATTTCGACTTGGAACATGCCGGCCCACATGCACGTCTGGGGCCTCAAGGAGCACACATGTCCCTTAACATGTAGCATTAGAATTTAAAGACCTACAGGGGGGTGCCTGGGTGGCTCAGTCGGTTGAGCGTCTGACTCTTGACTTTGTCAACTTGAGTCATGATCTTAGGGTTGTGAATCTGAGCCCTGCGCCGGGCTCCGTGCTGAATGTGGAGCCTGCTGGGAATTCTCTGTCTCCCTCTCTCTCTGACCTCCCCCGAAATTAAAAAAATACTAATAATAAATAAAGACCAGCAGAGACTACACTTAACACACAGGGGTCCCACGTTGGCTGAGGAGCTAAAAGGAGGGGATGGGGCATAAAGAGGCCTCACATAAGTTCAGCAGCCGAGGGAGGGCGGGAAAGGGGCTCTGTGAGAAATGAGTTCCTGACAAGCAGGGGAATAGAAACCAGGTTGATCACTGAAGGAGGTGGGGCCACTGCCACAGGGGGAAAAAGGAGGTAAGAAGGCAGAGAAATGAGCTAGATGCAGGGGTCAGAAACCAGTGGCCCCCAGGACCATCTCTTGAACATGAATCATATTTTTAAAATAATTGTGCCTTGAGATAGTGCATGTGCTGCCCAGTTGAGGTTCACCTCTGTCCTCACTGTTCCTAACTGTCTCCACCCCAGGATGGTCTCCACTCAATTTCTTGCCCCTTAGTCTTCTGAAGGCACCTGAGTTTGCCACCCTTGGATGGAAGGCTCCTCCCTGCTCTCCTCCAGCCCAAGGCTGTAGTATTCACGGTCCTGTAGGCACAAGGGACCACGTAGAACACATCTCCATTATGGCTACAGGATAAGCCATAAGCCTCCGTGGTCCCGAGACGATAGCCTTGCCTAGGCCCTGTGTGGGGCCAGGGAGGTAGAAGAGAAGAACTTAGAAGGCACAGATTGTCTGCGGAAAGACTGTCTATGGACACGAGTCAAGGCTAGCAGTGAGTTTGGTTTGGGCAACAGGGTGCAAGGGGGTGATGGGGAACCCTGGAGGAGGGACAGGTTTTTGCAGGATGGCAGCAGGAGACAATAAGCTCAACTGTGGAAATGCTGAGCGTGGGGATCCTGAAAAACATTTGAGTGGAGATGTCCGCAAGGTAGCTGGACCCGTAGGTGTAAGTTCCAGAAAACAGTCTAGGCTGAAGATCAACATTGGCATCGCCAGCAAATGCATGGAAAATAAAGTCTCGGGAATGGAGGAGATTCCCCAAGGAGAGTACACTAAGTGAGAAGAAACGATGCCCCAGAGACGGATCCCAGGCAACATCAACATTTCAGAGAGGGCTGCAGGACGAGAAGCCCACAGAAGAACCTGTAGAGGAACAGGAAGTGGGGGGGGGTGGGAACCAGGAGAGCGCAGGGTCTGGAAAGAGAAAGGAACGGCTTCAAAAAGAGGGAGGAGTTGAGAGCATCAGTTGCTGGCTTTGTCAATTTTTTTTTTTTTTTGTCTTTAGTCTTTATACATTTAAAGGATTTGGAGAACGCAGACGATTATTTCCATGTTGTGTTTTCAAAGCGGTTACCCATTAGGTAGCTCATCTGACAAACGGCGTAAACCAGCTTGTTTGATGGAACCCCTCTCTCAGGCAAGCTTCACCTGACCTCCCCCACCAACTTCCACCAGTCTTGGCCCTCTGGGGCCAGGGGTGCCCATCGAGGTAATAAGCATTTCCAGAGCACCACTGGGTACGGTGCCAGGCTCTAGGGAGCAGGTGCTGGCTTACCTGGCACTCTCAAAGGTGGCGGATGCCGTCTTTTCCACAGCCCCAAATCCGACGCCAACAGCAAGACCCTCTGAAATGGAATAAACAAGCATGAAGGGTTAGGAGCAGTTTTCGAACAAGGTTCGTTACCATCGCTGTGTCAGGTGAGACCGCATTAGGCTGCCAGTAACAGAAAACCCACATAACTGGAGTTTAAACCCGGGGTTGGCTGGCAATGGTCTGGGGGCCAAACTCAGCCCACTGCCTATTTTGGTATGGCCTGAAAGCTAAGAACGACGTTTACGTTTTTAAATAACTGGGGAAAAAAATCAAAGAAAGAATAGTATTTCACGACACATGAAAGTTATATAATTTTAGTGTTCACAAATAAAGTTTTATTGGCACAGTGCCATGCTTAATTTGTTGACAAGTTGTCTGTGGCTGCTTTTGCGCTACATCCACAGAGATGAGTAGTTGTGATAGAGAACATATGGCCCAAAGACCTACAATATTTACTGTCTGGCCCTTTACTGAAAGAGCTTGATGACGGGCTCCTAAGCTAAACACATAGGGTTTTATTTAGCTCACGCAACAAGAAGTCCGAGATTGGTGCAGGGGCCCAATGATGTCTTCCCAGACATTCGAGGGGCCATCTTGAAATGGTAGACTGTTACAGTCTACTCTGAGATGGTGTGGCTACAGTCTAGCTTAAGCTTAGGGATGGACAAGATGATTCCCCAAGTCCTCTCCAGAGGGACTAGTAAGCCTGCCAAGGCTACCAACACTCTGACTTTGATCAAATGTGGAAGAACACTGCTTGTCTACAAGTATCTGATGGAGAAGGAAAGGTTACAGAAAAATGGTCCAGTGGCCTGGGACCAGTGGGGTAGAACCATAATGTTAAGACATTTTCTGGTATCTATGGGACAGTTTAAAGATCCCCTGAATCATAACAGGAAAGAGACCTACCAATACTGGTCAGAATCAAGACCAAGGGCTTTTGGGGCTAGGAGGAACTTTTTTGTTATAAAGAGGGAAGAGGGAAAAATCCACTGAGTGAGAAGGGCTTGTCTTCTTTTGGGATTCACCGTCTCTTTGAAACGCCTCTTTTTATCCTTTGTGTCCTTTTTAGTTGGGATGGGCCAAGGATGCTAGGATTCTAGGAGGCACCTGGAGAAAAAAGAGCTGCTCACGCTTGTCCCATGTGAAAGGGTAAGAGCTCACCCATTATCTAGTCTGGTTCACTGAGGGACCACAATGGGGTTTGGAGTCCAAACACCCTGCTAAGGCCTAAAGGGCTCTTTTCTTCCCTCACCTTACCCTTTGTGCTTCAATCTCCTGTGGGGACCCTATGGGGGTTGCTGGTTGAGAATTTGGGATTCTCATGCTCCTCCAAGTATCTTCCCATATTCCTCATAATGACCAACGGTGGGATACAGAATCCTAGGACTTTAGAGGTAGAGGAAACCCCAGAGATCACGTGGCATGACTCTTGGGCCACTGCCAGGCTCAGAAGTTATCGGTTTGGTTGGGGTGGGGGATGGGGTGGGTGGGGAGGTTTTTCCAAAACCAGATGGCAGACAGCACCCTCCCAGCATGCCTAGCACACTCCAGAGCCGGCTGCAGAGAAGCCCCTGAGACACTGCGTCCAACAGGCTCTGGGGCCGAAGTGGCCAGGCAATCAACACCACCAGAGCAACCGCATGTTTCAGGATCGAGGCTTTAAAGACTGATTTATTTTTATATATTGTTAAGGCTCCTGATGTAAATTCTAAAATTTTTTTTTTTTACATTTAGTCATTTTTGAGAGAGAGAGAGAGAGAGACACAGTGCGAGCAGGGGAGGGGCCGAGAGAGAGGGAGACACAGAATCTGAAGCAGGCTCCAGGCTCCCAGCTGTCAGCCCAGAGCCCGACACGGGGCTGGAACTCACGGACCGTGAGATCATGACCAGAGCCGAAGTTGGGTGCTTAACCGACTGAGCCACCCAGGCGCCTTTAAAAAAAAGAAATTTTTTTTTTAACATTTATTCATTTTTGAGGGACAGAGAGACAGGTCTCTGTGACAGGGGAGGGGCAGAGAGAGAGAGGGAGACACAGAATCTGAATCACAGTGAGCTGCTGTGCCCATGGGTCATGAGATCAGAAAGCTGGAGGACATCTCCGACGCTTCTTCCATTTGACCAGTCCCCTACCCTCAGAGACTCCAGTGTTTCCAAAGCTGCTGTCCTCATTCTTGTTTTGTGCCCAAACAGCCAAGCCCTCAGCCGGCTCTCAGCGGTGACTGCGGGTCTCCAAGGCAAAGAACTTCACCAGGGAGCCCTGACCCACTGGGGAGAGGTGTCCAAGCTGGGAGGGAATTGCTGTGCTTATAACATCAGAGGCCTCCTCTTTGAAAAAAAAAAAATGTGCTTTTCTAAAGTATAAACAACAGCTGGTTGGCTCTTTTGTTAAAGATTTGCCTAATCAGTCACTTATTTTATTTTTTTTTAATGCCATTTATTTCTTGAGACAGAGAGAAAGTATATGAACCTGGGGGGAGGGGCAGAGAGAGGAGACAGAGAATCGAAAAGAGGCTCCAGGCTCTGAGCCATCAGCCCAGAGCCCGACGCTGGGCCTCGGTCTCACGACCGCGATCGTGAATCTTGAGCCGCCAGACGCTAACCTGACCAACTGTACTCTAATCAGTCACTTTATCACAAATCGAGCATGAGCCCAGAGCAACAGGACCTATATTAATCAGGGAACTAAGCTCCTTCCTGAATAGCCGAGCAAAGCCCGGCAATTTGGACCTGGCAGCATGGAGGCTGGGAACACCAGTTAGCAGAAAATACACTTGCCCGAAGTGGGACGACGCGCCCCAGCAGCAGAGCCAGGTCCCCCACTCCCCCCCCCCACCCGTTTGCCAACCTGCACTTGTGGCTTTCTCCCGGGGTGCAAGGGTGATTGCACCAATCCACTCAGGGCTGGGGGTTTGGGAGCAGTGAATGGCAGCCAGGTCCTGGGGAACAGCTTCCCACCGCCAGGGGAAGGGCAGGTGATGGGGAAAGAAATGCAATCGCTACCTCATCCGAAGGTGGAATAGAGCCTGGCAGAGAAGCTAATGAGAGACCAAGATAAATTACACGCGCGGAAAGAACATAAATAAAAGAATTAAGGCAGGTATTTAAGATCAACAGATGGCAGAAAGGACCCGCTGGGTGGAGAAGGAGCAGAGGAAAAAATTGCCGACTGGTGCTCACACCCCAGGTGTTCCACCAAGAGTGCAAATTAGGAAGGTAATTAAGACAAGAAACCCGAGTGACTGGAATATTATCAGTGAGCCGCTGCCTCTTTTCACAGCCACTGCCATTAACTCGGGTGCAAAGAGAGAGAAGATAAATCCCAGATCTGTAGTGGCGCATCTGGCAGATAGATGGTGGGCGAGGCAGAGTCCTGAGGACAAGCCAAGCCGGAGAATAGGCTCAGAAAGCCCAGGCCGCCCCCGCCGCCCTCCTGCGGGGTTGGATGGCAGGTGCGTGTGCGTCCCTCCCTCCATCTCCCCACCCTCCTGTGTCTCCATCCCATCTTGTCCCCCACCGGGGAGAAGAATAACAAAAAGGCCACGGCTCAGGTCCGGTATGTTATTTAAGGTTCCTCTAGAAATGGAAGGAGGATAACGATGCTTCGCGTACAGGATGATGTGCTCGGGGGAAGGCTTTCTCGCTACGGACACTGTCTTGTACGAGGCCAGCCTAGACGTCTTAGGACATTGAGCCGCATCCCTGGCCTCTGCCCACTAGATGCTGGCCACGCCCCCTCCCCATGAGTGGTGCTAGTCAAAAATGTCTCCGGGCACTGCCTAATGTCCCCCTGGGGAAATATCGTGGCCGGTTGAGAACCACTGGCTTCCCGGCGAGGGGAAGCGTTTTGAAACTATTCTAGAACGCTCTAAGAGTTTAAGTAGATGGTAGGAAAATGAATAGTTAAAAACCAGTGTCTTGGCCTGCTCCGGCTGCTATAACCAAATACCATAACCCGGGTGGCTAATAACTAACACGAACCCATTTCTCAACAGTTCTGGAGGCTGAAAGTCCGAGGCCAAGATGCTGGCAGACGGGGTGTCTGGTGAGAGCCTCCTTCCGGGTTCACACACGCACCTTCTTGCCATGTCCTGGCGTGCTGAAGGGCGAGGGACCTTTCTTAAGCCTCTGTAATAGACTCTAATCCCTGGGTTCCCATCTTCAACCTCCTGATATCATCACCTTGGGGGGCAGGATTTCAGTGTATGAATGTGGGGAAGGATACGAACGTTCGGACCATAGCAACTAATATTTTCTTTTTCCGTTGAGGGCTAGCCATTTCTTTGTTGTTGTTTTCTTTTTAATTTTTTAACATTTATTTTTGAGAGACAGCGTGCTAGTGGCGGTGGGGGGGGCAGTGGGCAGAGAAAGGGAGACACAGAATCTGAAGCAGACGCCAGGCTCTGAGCTGTCAGTAGAGAGCCTGACTCGGGGCTCAAATCCACAAACTGTGAGATCACGACCTGAGCCGGAGTCAGACATTTAGCTGGACTGAGCCACCCAGGCGCCCCTACTATTCCTTTGTTTTTAAGGGCATGGTGGGGGGAGGGGAATAGTTCACAGGTCTTCTCCAAGAGACCTTGCCAGCCTCCAAAACAGTTGACGTAGGTGACATTTCAGCTCTGCCTGACATTCACGGGTGTCAGGTCACATGGGGGATGGGAGGGAAAGCCAGCATGGGGTCAGGAGAAATGTGGTTACGGGTTCAGCTGAGCTGCTGTGGGGACACCCCTCCTCTCCCCACCTGGTTATGCTCCTCTCCATGTGGGCCTGGCTGTCAGATGGTCTCAGCAAGACAGAGCCTTCTGAAATACAGATTTGGGTGTCTGGGGCACTCAGGCCAGGGCTAAAGACTGTGGGGGGTCTCATCTCCCTGTCCTGGGCTCTGTCACTCTCTCACCACAGCTTCATGATGACATTCCTCTTGGGTGGCTTTCACACTAGGGGGCAGTGAACTAAACCCTCAGTCTGTCACTTAATGCGCTGATGGGAAGCCTCGGTCCTCCAGCCACTGCCTCTGCTGTTCCTTCT